GATAAGTGTCCCTGGGAGATGTTTTCAGTAGTGTTATTATGAAATCCAGCTTTGACATTCAATTTTTTAAAACAAAAATAGGCATGCGCTCGCTTTGAGTGAACTCCGAAGAAATTCATGTCCCGCTTAGTGATCCGAAATACCAATAGAATTTTAAAAAATGAGCCATTTCGAAATGAAGGACGCTTGGCTGCAACCCCACAAAACAAGTGCATACAATTCAATATTAGGGCTCAACATTAGCATGTGTGGCAATAGCGAACCTGTGACTCCTCAAAGCAATTATTTGGAAGTTTTTCCATACTTTTGAAAACAAACTTGACGCCTCATTTCTTTGATGACTGCTCAATAGACACCCCGAGACAGTAGCTGAGCTACCCCCTCCTCAGCGTTCCTCTGGCGCGCAGTGCTTTCATCCAGGACTTGAATTGTGTTGTCAAAGTTTAGTAGAGGAAAGAGGAGGGGCATGAGAACGACAGGGTGTCTTGAAAAGTCTTGGAAATCGGTATATTTTGCAGGTGTAGAATGCGCCTAATAACCATGGCTAGTGCGTGCTCCCCAGTGGTGCGGGTATGACAGGGACAGCTGGCTCCGTTTTCAGTGTGAAAACACCCCCTCGGTGGACCAAACAGAACGACACTGACCTGTCTGCGGGGGGAACCAGAGATGTGCCTTTGACTGAATTAGCCACAAAGGCGTCTTGCTATGACTTTTGTTCCCCACGAAAGCGAAGAAATATTGCGTTTAATATGAGAAGTACTGTTCACAGCTTTTCCGTGCCCCTTAAGAAATATTACAGTGCTGATTTAGTGGCCATCTTCTACCGAGCTGGCCGCTAGGCTGGCTGAGGGGTGGAGGGGTGGGGATGGGGCACTGGGGACTGGGCGATGGGGATGGAGCAGAGGAGGCAGAGTTGGTGAGTTAAGTTGCCTGTTTCCAAAGTTCTCTCTGTGCAGCCGCAAATTTATCAATCTTTTCATCTGACAATACTTTGAAATATATCATTGTCATCCAGAGCTGTTTGATAGATTATCTGGAGGCACACAGCCTTTTCCAAGGTCAAGTTGAAGATTCTTGTTTGCTGTTTAACTGGGTTGTTTAAAAACTTGAACAATGCGTGTCTGTTAAATGTTCACTTCTCAGGTTTTCCTACTGACTGGGTCTCTGGACATTTTAGCTTTTTAAGCTAAACTCAGCAAACAGGGCTTTGGCAGTGCAATCAACAATAGGAAAAATGAGATTTAACCTTACCCCTTGCAGATATTAAGAAGATTAAGCCATGTCTCACATCCTCTCAAAGTGTCTGTTGATTTTTCTATGCATGTTGGAGGCTGGTGATGACCACTCAAATCTCTTTCAGCCTTCTGACTTATTCCAGTGGGGAGCTGAAAATACTCTCTGCTAAAGCAGGAAGGCACAGAAATTGTGACACTTTTAAAAAAATCTTCCCCCCCCCCCCCGCAACATAACCTGTTAAGAATGTTGCACAAACAAGTCAGTTCAAAATCACGTTTGTGGACATATTTCTATTTTTAATCTCAAGAGCGGCCACACAGTTTCCTCTATATCTTCAATGATTGCTTTTTTTTTTATTCTACTAACTTTTATTTACCTTGCAATAATGTTCTGGACCAATGTGATAAATTACAGACATGCAAATTCCTTTCAATGGTGTTGTAAGTGTGTCTAGCTGGAGCTGAATAACTCCTTGCAAGTCAGTCTGTGCGCGCTCAGGACCCCAGGGAGCTGATCAAAGCACCCATTCTCTTTCATCCCCAGTATTCTCCTCCAAACTATTTCGATACAATATGTTTCCATGATGCACTTAATGCGCTAGGGACATAGAACTCATTACAACCTAGCTAGTTCTGCCGACCCCTTTGTTCCACAGCAGAAAGTCAAAGAAAGAAGGAAAAGCGCTGCCGGTTGCCAGCTTTCTGAAATGCTAAAGCATGCGTCATTTTTCACCAGGTCTCGTCTTGATATCCTCAAAAGACAAACTATGAAACCGGCCTCAGCCCTTTCTGGCATTAATTACACTGCTGTCCAGCCGATCTGTTTCTCCTATTATATGCATTTCTCAGCAGGGATTTTTTTTTGCAAGACTAATGCAGCTGCAAGTTGAACTATGAATGCATTTTTATCACTATGAAAAAAAAATAAGTGAAAAGGCTGCAAAACGTAGAGCAAAAATTTTGAAAGCGTTTTGGTGGATAACAGATTTAGGGCTCAGGAAGGGGGTTGCAAATTCCCTGAACCTGAAATTGACTTAGTGTCAGAAGTTTCCAGTATGCTCAGTTGTTCTGTGGTGATACTTCGAGTGCCATTTGAAATTCTACTTTGGTACCCAGATAAATCATGAAAGTTAAAATCTCTGTTAAAATTCTGAAATGGGAACAGTCTTACTGCACCCAATCAGGAGGCATTTCCAAGGAATTTCGGTCCCAGATAATGACACAGAGAATATAAATTTTATTTGGTTTCCTTCATTACTTGGAAG